ACCTAGCCCGCCGCTGGAAATCCCCTCTGCACTCGGCACCAGGGTCTGCACTCAACACTAAACTCTGCACTCGGCACCTAGCCCGCCGTTGGAAAACCCCGCCAAAATTTAAGCCCCGCCAAAACCCACCCAATAGCGCATTGCCCCGTCCAGCCCGCTCACCGGAAATCCCGCCTACCTACCTATAGCAGCCTGCCACGTCCACGTCCTGTTCTCCACAGCCAATCAGAGTGCCTTCCCTCCCTACATAACCCCATGCCTGAGAGAAGTCAGGCGCGACTTCTCCGGCCCCTTTTCCCTGGATCGTAGAACCTCGCCCAGGAGCTGAATAAATTGGCATCTAATTGTTCTCATGCAGGCCTCAGTTTCCTCATTGTAAACTCGGCAATAAACCTCACAGAGAATAAACCTTACACTGGGCTTTCTTGGTTTGCAAGATTCACCCTCTCTTGGCCTGGAGCGGGGCCAGCCATGCCTGAATGCAGGCAACTTCAATGGCCAAAGGCTTCAAGCCAAAACAGCAAGTGGCACACGGACCTGGCTCTGTCCTTTCCCAGTAGGCTATGTTTCCTTCTAGAAGAAGGCGAAGTCTTATACTCCCCATTGAAACAAGAAGCCTCGCAAGGAGCACTCCTAGTGGAGGAAGCAAATACCTACTTACGTTCATACTAAAAACGCTAAACCCAGCCAGGCACTGAGCTCAGCTCTGAGGGTTATTTGGGTGATGTCTGAAATGAGATGACAGGAAGAGGTGTCACAGCGGGGAAAATGGGGTGCAGGAGGGCACGTTTGGGTAAGAGAAAAATATCTGCTCCGCGCTCTGCTTAGCGAGCCCTACAGTTCCACTGATGGCCAGCAGATGGCCCTGTGGCTGTCAGCCCGAACCCGGCATACACCCTGACCTCGCCATGCTGTCTCCTGGCCCTGAAGAAATCTGTCCTCTCCTGGTCCCCGCAGCTCTCCACCTGGGAGTCTCTTTGAAGAAGGCAGCAGTAGAAGCCCCTCCATCTCTCCGGAGTGTAGACTCAGAGTTTGGCAGGGAAAGCTCTGGTTGGGTGGGGTCGGGAGCCCGGAGGTCTAGACCAAGTCTTAATAGCTACCAGATGTGCACCCTTAATAAATCATTCATCCGGGCGCCGCTCCCTCATTCATTGATTTACTCATTTATCAAATATTTATTAAGGACCTACGAACCAGATGCCATTCTAGGCACTGGGAATACCGAAGCAAACAAAACGGACAGATTCTCTGCCCTCGTAAAACTGACATCTGCAAATCACACCTAACGCTGCGTGTTCTAGAAGCTACAGGACAGGAGCCAACCGGAGAAAGTGAAAATCCTTCAAAAACGGGTGTCTTTTTCTCTATCAACCAGAACGCCGTGGGTCATGGGTTGGCAGACAGCAAATACCTGGGCGGGACTGCTATGGCCGCGTGAACCCCCTGAGTGTGTTTCCCGAGTGAAGCCTGGTCCCCGGGCCTTGCTGCTGCCCGACGCAGCTCAGCTGGCTCAGAAAAGAGGCAGCAGGGAGGACCACCTCCTAGGATTGGCCCACAGCACCCCCTACCCACAACCCCAGCACTCACCGTTCAACTCACAGCCCAGTAGCTCAAAGCGCAGAGTACAGGCCGTGTAGCAGCTTGTGGGGTACAACCTCACGTACTGAGCCTCCACAGGGGTCTCAAACAGGTTGATGTGCGCCGTGTTTTTATTCCAGTTACCCGTAAACTCCTAGGAGGGAAGGGACAAGACTGGAGAAGGGGGCCCATCTGGGCGGTCCCCCTCCTGGGTTTACCTTATCTTCCTCTTCAGACCTGGGAGGCAGAGGTGGGGCTGGGAGAGTGAGGAGGGCTTGGAAGAGCCACAGAGGCTCACACAGCAGCTTCCCTCTTGGCCACGCCACAGCCCCCCACGTGGATTCTCATCTCACCTTCCTTAATCATCATGGAGCCTGGGCATAAACCACTATAGGGGACACAGGTCACCTGTAACCTACAGGGTGCCTCTTTGCAAAGTAGGAAAAGACACTTTTTTCTCAAAGTTTATTATGACAATTTTCTGACAGAGTTCCACAAATGTACAATGACTGTACTGTGAATGGTCCCCACTTCATAATGACATCCTTGAGCAGTATACAACCTACACAACTGTACATGTAGCCCTGAAGGCTCAGAATGAAACCCAGCTCCACCACCACTACCACCCTCAACAGGTCATGGTACCATTTTGAGTCTCACTGTCCTCATCTATAAACTGGGACTATGGCTTATAAACCACAGAACATGGACACATCTGGGTTTCCCAATTTCTAGAAACCAAGATGCACCCAAAGACCCACATCATGGCCAATCACCCAGCATTCTGCCCCAACAAGACCTACCTTGTGTTTTTGATTAACATCATGGATGAAATCGAAGTCGTGTCCATTAAGGCTGTAGGCCACCTTGAAGGTCTTCAGGTACTCATGATTAGCCAAGCGGCTGGCCCCCTGCGTCACCACACCTGCCACCCACATCCTCCGCAGCAGATTCACCTGGACACGGGGCAGGAGAGACGGCACCCTTAGCTCCTGGGTTCTTTCCACTCAAGATCCAAGCAGACCCACCCCTTCACTCCCCCCACCAGGTGGGGGAACAAGCAAAACAGAGACGGGCAGCTGAGCACACTGCCCTCACAAAGGGCCTTCTCCTTCGCCCTAGACCTCCAGGGGCCTCATCCAGCACAAACAGCTCCTCTGCAGCCTGGGGCCTGCTCCCCCTCACGCTGGCCCCGCACCAGGTTCCCCCAGGGATGCCATCCACTTACAGACACTCATCTGTGGGAACCTGCTACCTTGCCACCTGGACCTGCAATGAACCTGAAGCCTCCCGTGGCAACCCCCAAATGCAGGAACATGCCTGGAGCCTTCTCTCCATCCCCCACCTCAGGGCCGTTCCCCGCATACCTGGATCCAGGGCTTATCATCGTTACTGCTGGGGGTCCAGGCATTAACCATGCCTGCCCGGTTCAGACGGGCCAGCTCCGGGACCCAGTGCTGCACGCCCAAGAAGGTCACGCGCACAGATGAGGCGGTGATCTGTGAGTTGGCAATGTTCCCATTCTCCATGCCCAGCGGCTCGGCGCACTCTGAGGGGAGGGAGATGGCAGTCAGGTGGCCGCCCCCAGCTGGGAACCAGCAGACAAGAAAACAGGACTATATGGCTTCTGCCTAGGCCCCAGAGCCAGAGAGAACCTCAGACCTTCACTCAGAACAAAGACCACAAAGGGCCAATGCAGGCAGTGCCCAGGACAAGGTGCCAAGAAAAGGTGTGTGGCAGGGGGTGCTGAGGACGAGGGGGGTCGGCAGACTCAAGGGAGGCTGGGACCCAGGGCTGCCAAAGGATCCCGGCCAGGGTGGCACTCTGGGGATGGCTGTGATTGGCACTCACGGGAAACAGAGTCCCCTCCAGGCTGTGGGAGGTGGCCTCGTTCATATAGGGCATCTGGCAGCAATTAATCTAGTGCAGGGATTGGACTGGTGGCACAGAATACCGGTGTGACCCTCTCTTCCCCAACGTCCTCCTCCACCAGGAAGGGACGTCGTCTTCAGCCCAGCCCCTGGCTTCGTCGGGAGGGCAGTTTGGAAGTTTGGAAGAAGGGCTACCTTGGATGGCAGTGCACAGTGCCAGCACTGAACACAAAGAAAGAAGCAAATCTGCCTGGAGTTTTCTAGAATCCCACTGGCAGGAGTTCTCTGGGTGGGGCACAAATGCCATTCTGCTTTCCCTCTTTGGCCTTCCACCCTGTCTGGGAACTTGCCTGTGGCCGAGACCCCACATCCTTTACCGTCACTCCAGCAGGGTGGTCCCAGGAACCTCGGCCCACCTACAGGCCAAGCTTCTCTCTTCACTTGGGGATCCCCCCAGTATGTGTCTGGGCCTTCCAGCTGCCAAGCAGAGAACCCAGAGACAGACCTGCTCTTCCTCCCACATCACAGGCTCAGACAAGCTCAGTGCCGTCGCACTCTGGCAGGGAGGGGAAGGCGCAAGGTGAGGCCCTGGGCCTCAATGGGCTTTGACCTGACCATTCCTAGATTCCACACAAAAAGTGTTTCCCATCCGATGAATCAAAACATATGTTCAGCTCTGTGAGATGAATCCACACGTTGCAAAGAGGTTTCACAGATAGTGGCTTCTAGGCTTTACCCCCAAGACCAGAGCCAGCCAGTAGCTGAGCTGAGATTTGACCCCAATCTGCCTCCAGGACAATCCCCACACGCCACCACGCTCACACCCTCAAGGAGTGCAGTGTGCATTCTTTGGGCCTACAGGGTCATTGTTGGCTGCAAGGAAACACACCACGTAAAAGGCAAGGAAGGGCTGCAGCAGAACCCCCACCTCCGGGGGGTTCCTCCGCTCTGTGGCCACCCCTGCCTTCCTCCTGGACGCGGCCATACCCAGCCTGGGGCAGATCCCAGGCCCAAAAGCTAGAAGTCAGGGTGGTAATTCCAACTCAGGCACACCCACGGTGACCTCAGCTCCCAGGACATGTGTCAGTGGGCCCACCTGGCCCCACCTAGGGCTCTGCCTTGGCAACCCATCCCCCAAACCATAAACACACCCTTCTACCAGGATCTCAAACACACCTGGCCTCAGGCCAGGGCCCAAGGCACAGGACCCAGGGCCACTTGGAAGGTAAAAGGCATCCTGCACCCTTGACCTGCTTTCTCCCGGGGCCCCTGCTCCCACCCAGCTGGCTCAAGCCCCCCCGCCCCCTCCTTCTGGAGGTCAGCAGACCTCAGAGCCCATCCCCACATCTGCCTGATGGAGAGCAAGACGTCCCCTGCCCCCTACCCAAGATGCTCAGACTGACCTGCTGGATTCGGAAACCTAGGACCCCCACTCTACCCATCCCTGGGCCCGCATGTGGGCACCCGCCTACCCCATGGGGAGTCCCGGTGGGGTGGGAGCCCTGGGTGGGAGGGGCTCCAGCTGGGCCCAGAGGGAGGACAGCAGGGGAACCACTGTGGACACCCCACCCAGGGCCAGTCTGTGGCCAAGGAGATGACCAGGCAGGTCACATGAGGACATGCAGGGCCTCTGACCACCTCACCACGAGGGAACGGCTCAGCTGGCCAGGCCCCTCCCTCCTCCCCGAGCTCTGTGATGAGGCCGCAGGTCAAACTTGGGCCAGGAACTGTCAGACTCTGAGACCATGCCTGATTTACTGAGTCCCTGGGCCCCAAAAGGCTAAGAATGTGTTTGTTTTCCCCTCAGGTAGAGAAATCCCCAGGACTTAACCCTAACACTGTGTGTCTGGTTCATGGTGACTCAATAATAACATTCCCATGACCTCCAGGGTGACCACAACCCCTCACTCCTCTGCGGCAACATCAGGCCCGGCCTGCGGTCCCAGGAGAGAGGGCCAGGCAGAAGGAAGAAACCACAGGACCCTCTTCCCGCCTTGGTCTAACTGGGGCTCCGTCTCTCTCTCTCAATCTCCCCAAAGGAGGCCTTGCCAGCTCCCCTGGGGTGGGGACAGTGGGGAAGGAATCAGGCCAGCACATGGCCTGTGCCACCAGGGCTGTGGCTCAGGGTCTCCTGCCAGGAACAGGCAGCAGGGACTCCCAGATACTCACTCAGCTCACAGTGGCTGCCCACGTATCCCTCGAGACATTCGCAGGTATAGGCGGGGAAGACGTCCCCTCGAACTTCCTGGGCAATCTCCTTGCATAAGCCATTGTTGTGGCAGGGGTTTTTGGAACAGATATCTGGGGACAGAGACAGGGAAGGTTAGCAGGTGATCAGGAAGGAGCTGGGGACAGAGATGAGAAGTGGCAGATGGACCCAGCCCAAAAGGACCCTCCACTCAAACTCAGCCCGCTCTCTCTTCCTCTGCCTTTTTCCTAGTCTGCTGGATGGAGCCTGAGCCAGGCTAGAGCCAAGGAGGTCCAAGTGTAGGCAAATCAGCCCAAATAAGGGAAGTGCCCGGCTTTCCAAGTGGCCTGGGAGTGTCCTAAAAACTGCTGGCTCGCCGGGCGCAGTGGCTCACACCTGTAATCCCAGCACTTTGGGAGGCTGAGGCAGGTGGATCATGAGGTCAAGAATTCAAGACCAGCCTGGCCAACACAGTGAAACCCCATCTCTACTAAAAATACTAAAAATTAGCTGGGCATGGTGGCAGGTGCCTGTAATCCCATCTACTTGGGAGGCTGAGGCAGGAGAATCACTTGAACACGGGAGGTGGAGGCTGCAGGGAGCTGAGATCACGCCACTGCACTCCAGCCTGAGCAACAGAGCCAGACTCCATTTCAAAAACAAACAAACAAACAAACAAATACAAAAATTAGCTGGATGTCATGGCGCATGCCTGTAACCCCAGCTTCTCGGGAGGCTGAGGCAGGAGAATAGTTTGAACCAAGGAGTCGGAGGTTGCAATGAGCTGAGATCGCGCCACTGTACTCCAGCCTGGCAACAGATGGAGACTCCAACTCAAAAAAAAAAAAAAAATGCTGGCCGACGATGGGAGTGGTGCTGGGGGCCACTGCCCACCAAGGGAAGAGCTGGCAGCTGGGGCATGGAGAGGCAGGCAAGGTCCCGGCCAGGTCTCCTGGCAACACTCCGATTGCAAAGGAGGCCCATGAGTCCTTAGAGGCCCGGGCAGTGGAAGGAAGCACTGTCCTGGCCCACAGAGCAGGTTCTGCCCACCAATTCAGGCACGGGTTGGAGTCACAGATGTCACCTCCAACGGCAGCCCTGGCTCAGGAACAGCACGATGACCATCCAGGAGACACTGGGAGGGCCAGGGACCACGCTGGGCCCCGGCGACAGAGAAATCAGATGCAGCAGGCCTCAAGAAGCCAACGGGAAAGAGGCCAGCAGGTCCACAGATGAGGAAGAGCGCTCCAGAAGCCTGCATGGACGGCCTCTGGAGGTCTGATTTCTGCTGAGGAGACGAAGTTCCCCAGAGGAGGGGACACTCAAGCTGGGGCTAGAAGACAGAGCAAGGAGGGTGCCAGGCTGGGCAACGAGGAGAGAACGGTCCAAGAAAAGCAGATGCACAGAGGGCGTGGCATGTTGGAGCCCAGTAAGACACAACCGGACGGGTGGCTGGGGCCAGACTGGGAGGGATCTTTAGGATCCAAGTTTAGTTTTTCAGCCTGTAGAGCAGCAGCTTTTAACCTTCCTTCACGCTCCTCCCACTGCCCACCAGGGAGAGAAAAAAAACAAGAAACGGATTCTCAATTGTGAGATGGGGGTGGGAAAGTCAGTTCCAACTGCCAGGCTGAAAGGCCACCCCGCAGACCTGAGCCCCCTGCAGTGGGGAGCGGCTGGTAGCTGCAGCCAGGTCCCTCTGGCTGAAAAGCAGAAATCCCACCGAAGAGGGTGAAGGTGGGAAGCAGGAGAGGGTGGTGAGAGAGGAAGTCAGGGCAGAGGAGTGAAAGGGAAGGGCGATTTCAGAACACCAGGGGACAAGTGCTGGAGAGGCCACCAGAGCTTCTGGATGGGAACCTGGATGACAGATATGCACTATCAGCCCCGGCAGTGGAGAACACAGGAGGAACAGGGCATGTCCTCAATCCCTTCACTCCGGTGGGTCAGCCGGCCCCAACAAGGGTCCTCTAGCTGAGCACAGCATCCCAGAATGGCTGCCCCAGACCCTGCACCCAAATCTGTCATTTGGAGTAAGACATGAGAAATCTTTTTGTTGAGACCAAGTTTCACTCTTATTGTGTAGGCTGGAGTGCAATGGCGCAAACTCGGCTCCCCATAACCACGGCCTCTGGGTTCAAGGGACTCTCCTGCTTCAGCCTCCCGAGTAGCCTGCATGCACCACCACACCTGGCTAAGCTTGTATTTTTAGTAGAGACAGGGTTTCTCCATGTTGGTCAGGCTAGTCTCAAACTCCCGACCTCAGGTGATCCACGTGCCTCAGCCTCCCAAAGTGCTGGGATTACAGGCATGAGCCACCACACCCGGCCCGACATGAGAAATCTTTTTGCCTTCCCCTCAGAGTCACCCATCTAAGGCTGGAGAGTCCTCCTGAAATCCCACAGCCCCAGACAGTTCACCCTGCTCCAGGGAAGGCAACACCATTAATGAGGCATCTGCCCTCGGAGCTCCGCCTCCAGAGGCCTGCGGAGCTTAAAGTGGCTCCCAAGGAGCTATTAGTCATTGGCTTTAAATAGTAGGTAATCCGTCGGCTGACCTGGCGGGCGGGGGCGGGCACTGACACAGAGAGGCTGGGGTTAGGAATGGACTCTTCCTCCCCTCCCAACCGCGCCGGCCCTCTCCCTACCCTGCTCCAGGGCGAAAACGGTCCAGTGGGAAAGAGAAAAGTGAAAGGTGTACCCTACCCAGCCAGGTTACCTTTGTGTAAGGTAGCTACGATGTTTCCTCCTTCTGGAAAAAACAGCGCACCCTGTATAAAACCATCTTTGGGGCCGGGCGCGGTGGCTCACGCCTGTAATCCAAACACTTTGGAGGCCAAGGCGGGTGGATCACCTGAGGTCCGGAGTTCAAGACCAGCCTGACCAACATGGTGAAACCCTGTCTTAAAAAAAAAAAAAAAACATCTTTGCTACTTCAGAGCCCTGCTCTTTCGGGGGGCTTTCCAGGAACATTTGGCCAGGGTTCAGGTTGGGGGTTACAGATAGGAGTAGAAAGGGTTGTGAAGATCCGGCTGTCTTTCAGGGTGGCCCCGGAGGGCCAGGAGCTCCCAAGTTCCTGGGAGCTTGGAGCACTCTGGAAGCTCCAGCCCTGGAGGTCAGGCAGATCACAGGACATAGGGCTGCGGCTCAGCTGTTACTTCCCTCGCTTCAGTCGATCCCATTTCTATGAGAAAATGATGGAGGGGCCACCTAGTCCCCTCCTGGGCACTCCTTTCCCAGTGCCCCGCGGTGAAGGGCATGGGACATCCGAAAGCCCAGCCTGCAAGGGGCCCAGCTGGCCGCTGGAAGCCTGCTGAGCAGCGGAGGAGGACCAGGAAGATACAGCAGCCGGCCAAGGCCGCGGGGGAGAGGGAGTCAGGAGACTCCCATCAACAGGCAGCCCTCTTCCAAGTTCCTCGCAGCCTCTGTGTCCCCTCCTGGGCCCCAGCTAGGGCTCGCGTCCACTGCACCGGCTTCCCAGCCCTTTCCTTATGTGACCAGGCATGGAGCGCAAAAAATCCAATGAACTGTCCAGCCAACAGGGGTTGGCGGGTGTTGCCAGGGCAGAGTTATCCCGAGAAAACTCATCAATACACAAGAGTCCTAGAATCTCCCAGGTGGAAGGGGTTCGGAAGTCTAACGCAGTTCCCTGGCCTCATTTTTCAGACGGGAAAAGACAGGCCCGACACAGCGGATTCCTTTGTCATTATGTGTAAGCCGCATCCCTGGGGGCGGCAGGGCTGTCACCCGATGTCCCGAGTCCCCGCCCAACGCACAAGCCCAAAAGCCCCAGCGCAGAGACTGCAGGGGCGCGTCCCCGGGTCCCGCCAGGCCGCAGCGGGAGAAGCCCCCCCTCAGCCCGGCCCGGTCCCAGGGGCTTTGTCTAAGTTTGTCAACAGTGGAGGTGGAGGGAGGGCGCCGGGCGAACTTCCGAGCGGCGCGGGGAGGAGGGCGAGGGCCAGAGGGCGGCGCGCTCCACTCACCCAGGGCGACGAGCAGGCTGGGGGCGCAGAGCAGCGCGCAGCACAGCGCGGTCAGCAGGCGGGGGCGCGACATGCTGCGGGGACGCGGCGCGGGACGGGGTGCGCGGACTGCTCAGGCCCCGCGCGGTTCTAGCTCCTGCTCCTCCGGGACCGGACTAATTCAGGAGGCTCGGCACCTCCCACCCGCCATGCGCTCCGCCCAGGCCGGCCAGAGGCGGACTCGGGGAGGGGCCCGCGGCTGCGAAGGAATTGGTTGAAAGGAATTGGGGGCGGGAAGTGGTCCGCGACATCTGCCTTTTCCGCCACGGCCGCACCGGAGTCCTGCGGGGTGCCAACGGCCGGGTCACAAGTCTTGAGTCTGTTAGACCGAAAGAGTTCAGGAGGTGTTTGTTGTGTTTGTTTTTATTTTTAAGATTTTTAGACTTGAAAAGATGCTCTTTGACCGGGCGCGGTGGCTCACGCCTGTAATCCAAGCACTTTGGAGGCCAAGGCGGGTGGATCACCTGAGGTCGGGAGTTCAAGACCAGCCTGACCAACATGGTGAAACCCCCGTCTTAAAAAAAAAAAAAGAAAGAAAGAAAAGATGCTCTTGATTCATAATCAGATAAATGCAAATTAACACTACAATGAGCATCGTGTTTCCCTTCTCGGATTGGCAAGTATCAAGATGTTAATTTAACCGGGCGCGGTGGCTCAAGCCTGTAATCTCATCACTTTGGGAGGCCGAGGCGGGTGGATCACGAAGTCAAGAGATCGATCGAGAGCATCCTGGTCAACATGGTGAAACCCCGTCTCTACTAAAAATACAAAAAATTAGCTGGGCATGGTGACGCGTGTCTGTAATCCCAGCTACTCAGGAGGCTGAGGCAGGAGAATTGCCTGAACCCAGGAGGCGGAGGTTGCGGTGAGCCGAGATCGCGCCATTGCACTCCAGCCTGGGTAACAAGAGCGAAACTCCGTCTCAAAAAAAAAAAAAAAAAAAAAGATGTTAATTTAACAAGGTTAGTGGAGGCTGTGGGGAACAGGTCCAAGCATGCTTCGCTGAAGAGTATAAATTGGTTCAAGTTCCCCAGAGGGCTATTTGGTAACACCTATCAAAACTATCAAAATGACAAATGCTGACACCCTAAGAACTAGCATTTCCACAGAGGCATTCATTCTACAGAAGCTCGCATGTGCGAAATGACGTATATATACAGATAGCATAGCAACATTGTTTGAAATGGTAAAAGACTAAAAAAAAAAAAAAAAACAAACAAAAATCAGCGAACCGTTCTGTAAAGGACCTAATAGAAAATGTTTTCTGATATGTAGTCTCCATAGCAACTATTCATCCCTGCCTTTGTTGCAAGAAAGCCACCACAGACAAAATGCAAGGAAATGAGCACGTGTTTGCCAAAAGGGAAAAAAACACAGCAAGCCTGTCATCGTTGATTTTTTACTAAATGATTTCTACTTATCATGTGCAAATATTACCTATTTACAAATAAGTGGTTTTAATTTATTTATTTATTTATTTGTCTAGAGACAGGGTCTCGCTCTGTTGCCCAGGCTGGAGTGCAGTGGCTATTCACAGGCACGATCCCACTACTGATCAGCACGGGAGTTTTGACCTGCTCCGTTTCCGACCTGGGCCGGTTCACCCCTCCTTAGGCAACCTGATGGTCCCCCGCTCCCTGGAGGTCACCATATTGACGCCAAACTACAACCGATCGGCGCAGCACACTACAGTCCAGAACTCCTGGGCTGGAGTGATCCTCCGACCTCAGCCTCCCGAGTAGCTGGGACTACAGGCACGCGCCAACGCGCCCGGCAACTGATTTTGATAATAGTGTTTCAGGCCCAGGGCAGTGGCTCACACCTGTAATGTCAACACTTTGGGAGGCCAGGGCGTGCAGATCACCTGAGGTCAGGAATTTGAGACCAGCCTGGCCAACATGGTGAAACCCTGTTTCTACTAAAAATACAAAAATTAGCCAGGTGTGGTGGCAGGTGCCTGTAATCCCAGCTACTCAGGAGGCTGAGGCAGGAGAATCGCTTGAATCTGGCAGGGCGGAGGTTGCGGTGAGCAGAGATCGTGACTCTGCACTCTAGCCTGGATGACAAGAACGAGACTCTGTCTCAAAAAATAGTAATAGTAATAAGTGTTTAAGCCAGATCAGCCAACAAACAAAAAAGAACAGTCACACATCTTCCCTACTAGCTGTGTTGAGACCTAAGTGGGACTAGGGTCCACTGGCAAGATGCCCTTCTTCAAATATTCAGAAGGGAAAAGACATATCGGATCGACCCAATAATCACAGAAAAAGCATTTGAAAACATCCAACACCTCTTCGTGATAAAAACTCAACAAACTAGAAGTGAAAGGGAGGTTCCTCAACGTGATTTTTAAAAATCTATGAGAAACCTCTGGGCACAGTGGCTCACTCTTGTAATCCCAACACTTTGGGAGGCC